AGATACCATTCATTCCTTTCCTCTCTCCACCTCCAGCAGCCAATAGTCCTTGAAGATCTTGATGTCCATATGGAAGGACTTAATTTAGTGTGTGCTATGTGAGTTACTGAGTCTGTAGGATGTGTTCAGTCTTGAGATTGTAATGTCTGTTTGTGACGTGGGTTCTTGTTGTTTGAGTTTATACATTACGCTGCTCCTTGCATTACGGTGCTCCTTGCATTCTTATATGTAATAGTTTATTTGTTTTGATTGCTGGCTTCCTGACATCTGTTTTAACAAATTAAACATCTAGAGTTTTTCCATTATATGAGTCTAGTCTGATACAATTGTTAAAGGTTTATTTCATCCTTTTGGAAAGGGGAAAGACAACTCTTGACTTTGAAGAGTGCATTCACGGCACTTTTCTACCCAATTTTCAGTAGTAGAAAAATAGTTAAAATATTCCTAGTTTCCCGACCTGATTCTAACTACTAAACCATCTGAGGGAAAAAAGGAAAAGGAAAGAAACTCAGGACCATCTGATCTAATGCATAAAGGTATCGTAAAAACTAGGCAGATCTCCTAGGGATGAATCTGCCCATAACCTATCACTAATGGACAATGTTAGAGATGCCAAGCACATAGAGAGGTGCAATCATGATACATCAGTCTCAGCATCACTGCCAAAGATAAGCCCTTAAATGTTTTGTAGCCTACGCTGTCGATCTTCCTGAATTGCTCCCCAGAAATATAGACCAAGTTGATATGTTGCAACAATTACTCGATGAATGAAGATTCAAGTTCTAGGTGTTCATGGTATTTCCTCCATTTCCAGCATATACGTGTAAATATAGATGATAAGCTCTCAATGTTTACGGACATATCAGATTGGTATAGACATTTTTTTATGCACAACCAGTAACAGATACAGCATGTCACATGGCAATACAATGATTTTTTTCCAAAGTTGAGGATATATGACTAGTACCAGATATCTTTTATGCACAACCAGTATACATAATGCAACCGACATGGCAGTACAATAATGAAAAATATTGTACATCTAGAAGAGGTCAATCTTCTAGAACCAAGCAAGTTGTAGTAGTCAAATAGATTTCTAACCTCTATTCTTCGTGCCGATAGACCAGTAGTGTATAACCCTTGATCCTAACTTCAGCATCCCGACGCCGTTGTGCTTGCATCTGTATTGAATCCGTACTGAATAATCAGATGAATGTAGATTAAAACATATATTTAAGAATATTAGTCGTTATCAGGTTTAAAAATATAAAAAATAGCAGTTATCAGACTGGAGAGTTTATTTTGACATGCAGGAAGATAGCCCTAAATATAACAGCACTTTGAACAAGAAGCCCAAGTATTTGAGAAAGTTCCTTGGCTCTGAAGTTGATTGATTTGATTAATAAAGAAGATGATTATTTCAAAACAAGCATAGAGGAAGTAATTATTTTGTCAAACAACTGATTATTTTGTCCAAACAAGAATTAGCTAATACAAGAAATAAAGTCAAATATCAGCTGTCAAGCTATAAATTATTTTGTCCAAAATAAAGTACTAGAATAGGATCCAAAGAGAGATAAGTTTAGGATGTGTATCATTGTTTGGACATAAAATTGGATAAAAGTAATTATTACAGGAGAAAGTAATTTAGGGAACAGGAGGGATGATAAGGGGCTGTTTGGTTGCAGTTTTTTTGCAATGAAAATCACTGAAAGTCATCAGCTTCCGGGGCGCACTGTCAGTGTCAGCTAATCTCTATTTTACGTTGTTTGTTAGCACGTTTTTTCACATGGTAACTAGATTCTGTGACACTTTTTGATCGGTGTCCCAAAAAGTAAAAGCATTCCATTTGGGAGTGGCTTCGTGGGAAAGCTGACAGACCTGTCAGCAGTGACAATAAATAAATAAATAAATAAATAAAACGAGCTACTTGTCTCTTGCACACTGTCAAATCTTAACAACAATAAATAATAGGTTTTTCTTTCAATTTAGTCCCTTACTCTTTCATATTTTGACTTAGCCCCTCAAACGTTGAAGTTAGTATTAGGTTCTTTCTTTAAAATTTTCAAAATTAGTCCCTCATGTAATTAAAATTGCAATTAGATTCCTTAATTTGCACAAATTGTCTTAAATTAATCCCTCCAACTGCTACTTCTATTCTTGACTGCAGGACTAATTTCAAAATAACCTTACACCTAAGGGACCTAATTGCAATTTAATGATTTGAGGGGCTAATTTCAAAACTATGAAAGATTTAGGATACTGATGTAGAAAAAAATCCTACTAGTTTTTTTTATAATTTTCCAAATTTACAACAAACAAGCCAAACAAAATTATTATTTTCCAAATTACAAAATGCAATAAGCCAAACAAGATATTTTTATCATTTTCGATAAGCCAAACAAGATATTTTTGTCATGTTAGAATTCCCTATTTTTGTCATGTTAGAATTCCCAATCAATTTTTTCATCTTGAGGTATCAAATTTCTTATTTTAGATATTAGTTGTGAGATAAGTTGGATTGTTGGAGTTTTGTGTTTATGGAGGTAATCTCATTCTCACCCATGATAAAATGAACCTTTTGAATGTGGTCCACCGCGTAACTATCATTTTCCAAGGTTACATTATGCCATCCAATGCCATCCAAACAATGTAACCCTATCCTTTTAGGATTCATAAAGATTCTTAACCAAACAATGTAAAAACTTCCATGGAAAGTGATGAGGTGCATGACCACTTTCCATATGGCGTCATGAATACTCTAGTTTCCCCAAAGCATGCAAACAGCCACTAAAAGTAACAATTACTGCAGAGTGAAGTTATGTTAAACAACAGATATTCCAAAGTACCACTTAGTCAACAGGTTTAGTACTTTAACTTCCTACCAACAAAACAACCCACCACTTGGCACCTAAACAAGCTATTTACCAGTGGAAGAAGGAACAGATAAGAAGATGAACAATCAATTGGCACTCATTTTGGCCACAGATCACCAATTCCTTCTACTCCAGAACAAAGTTCAACATTCCTACTCTATTTATGGTCTCCAAGCCAGATACCGAGACACAAAAAGGACCAGAAATCAAGAAGTGTTCTACTCTTTTCACCAATGGCCTTTTGCAATGAGATCAACCTAGCTTCGTTTCTAGCCCTGATAACCATTGATGCAAGCCTAGCAGCTCGTCGTCTTTTAGACACTCCAGCATCACCAGCAGCACCAACGCTACCTACAATTCCCACACTGCCAATGCCAACATTGCCTCCACCGTCAACCACCCAACAAGCTCCTATTCCCTCCGTTACCAGCCACCAAACTGCCCAGATACCGACTATCCCCACCATCCCTGCAGGCCTTCCGACTATTCCTGGTGTCCAGATACCAACCATTTCTTTCCTCTCCCCACCTCCAGCAGCCGCTGCTAGTCCACGAAACATTGATAAATTGACGGAGTTACCCCAGGAATATACGCATAGGTTTTTGGAGCTTGTTGGGTTTCGCTTAATGAGTATGTTGTGATTGTGAGGACATATGTTGTGAGTTCATACATTGTCTTTGTTCTTGTTTATTTATTTGTAACATTCATCTGCGTTCTATCAAAGGATCTCCCTGTATTTGTTTAGAGATTTGATCATATTTTATTATATTGTGTCTTTTTAATCTCCACAATCTTATTATAACCTTCAGTAGTCTGTTTCTACTAACCGATCCTTCTAATTTAAACACAAATGCTAGAAGTATTACCTGTCCACAGCTTGTTAGAAAAGTAAAAGTCAAATAGGAAGATGCTAATCAAATTTGACAAACTTGTCGTCCCATTGTTAATACAAAGCATGTCAGATGCATAGAGCAATGAAAAACAATTAATTGCATTAAATAACGCTTCAAAGTTCAAAGCATGGGGCCTTTTAAACTTTTCTAGCCTATAAAATATACTTTTAGGAAACTCATTGCCCAAGCAAAAGATTGGTAACCATATCAGTAACATATAGAAGAGAACACAAACCTGCACTTGGATTTTACCCTCTGTTCTTCCTGCCAATTGGACCACTGGTGCATCTTCCTGGATCCTAACTCCAGAAATTTGAACCTGATATGCCTGGATAAGAACTAAATCACTGAATGATCAGACAAATATGGAACAGATAAAATATATATTTAAACATATCAGCAATCATCAGCTTGGAGACTTTTAACTTTTATGCAAAAAACTCAAAATATAATTATATAAGTATTTATAGCCCCGAAAACAAAATAACGCTCGGGTCTCAGTAAAATTAACAGAAAAGTTTAAGCCACAGTATTTTTGGATACTCTTTTTAACTCTTGAACATGAGGCAGTAATATTTGTGGTGAAGTTTCTTGGTTTCAAGCTCGAGTAATTTGATTAAAATTGGAGTTCATTATTTCACATCAAACATAGAACATGAGTATGAATACAATGAACATGAGCACTAGCTCTGACAGAGATCTTACACATATCTTCCCAATGAACCAAATTCACATGAATCCTTACAAAGCTACACATAATTTAAAACATAGGGAGGGAAAATTCTACAACTTCATTGTATTTGAGGCATAACACTATAATCTTGAAAAAAATTAGGGGACATGATAAAAGTAATTTTTTTTGGTCAATATGATAAAAGTAATTACTACAAAACAAAGTAACATTAATTGCAGAGCAGAAGATAACCAAAACATGAGAACTAATCCAGAGTATGGTTTTAAATATCGGCCTATAATCTGATATTATCGCCGAGTTATCGGGTTTGGTAGCTTTCCGCTAGGATAAGTAGGATTTTTAATCGGTTATCGTTTTTTGAGGTTTATCGGCGAGTTATCGGCGATAAAGGCACTTATCGGCCGATAAGTAGGCTCTAAATATCGGCTTTATGGGACGATAAGTAGGATTTGGGAGGTTTTACTTTCTTTTGGATTTGCTCTTTGAATGTTTACAAATTATGAACTATTTGTTGCTTTTAGAACTTGGTTGATTGTTGATTAGCTTATGTTTGTTTATGGATATTGATAATGGCTCATAACTACTAAATATCAACTTAGTAAGTCAGTTTATGAATCTCATGATTAAACAATAATTATGTAGATGCATAGATGGTTCTTCATTCTTGATGTTATCTTATTATTTGCTTGTTTATTATTCCATTTTGACTAACATTATATTTTTTTCAAGCTTATGTTATTTGCTTGTTTATTATTCCATTTTGACTAACATTATATTTTTTTCAAGCTTATGTTTGTTTATTATTTACTAGTATATTACTCCGATAAATACTACTTATCCCTGATATATATCCCCGATTTTCGCTATCCGATAAGGATTTTGACCGTCCGATAAATCCCGATAACCGACATTTAAAACCTTGATCCAGAGCCGAGATGTCTGGGGCAAGAAATAAAGGAATTCATATCAAATCCTTATGATACAAAAAATGAGTGAATTCTTCTATGCAGAAATCAACAAAGAGAGAAATCTAAAAGCTGCATTGATGTCTGGGGCAAGAGATTGGATAAAAGTAGGTACCGTAAGAGTAAAAGATCTTAGAAAACAGGAGAGGGACGATAAAAATTGCTACTGCAAAATAAAGTAACAAAGGACAAATATCTTAAAGTGCCACAATAGGTTGCCTAACTTCCCAACATTAAAACAACTTACTTGGTACCTAATAAGAATTTTCTGTTCTGTAGGGGAAGAAGAAGAGATAAGAAGGTGAACAAACAAATTAAACTTAAATTCTGCCACATGTCACCAATTCCCTATACTTCAAAGACACCACTAAACATTCCTACTCATATATATTGTGCACCCCAGGAATTGATATACAAAACAAAGGAGCACAAACTAAGCCTTCTACTCTTACTCTTATGACATGGCCTCCCGCAAGAGGACCATAGTAGCATTGTTTTAAATATCCCCGACATGGCCTGATATATCCCCCGATATATTCTTTTACAGGGCTTGTCGCAACCGATATGTTCTTTAAATATCCTTTACTGCTTTTTGGCTATTTTGAGTGATAAATCCCCGATATGGCCGATATATTAGCCGATATGTGGACCAATATATCTTTTTATATAGCTTGTTGTAAAATAATATACCGTGTTTGGAATTTTTGGGCGAGATATCAAGATTTCCCCATTATATCAAATGATATTTTGCCCTAAAAAAAGCAGATCGAATGTTGCAACATTGCTTCGCACTTTTGTTTGTTTTAGAAGGTTGATTAGTGATCCTCAACATATATTACTCATATTTTGTATGCTTAAATTTCATACATATGTTGAGATTACATTTTAATACATTATACTATGTATGCAAACATTCATTATGGCATTCCGATATTTACCACATATCTCCGATATTTCCCCGATATCCGCAATCCAATATGAATTTTGGTCATCCGATATTTCCCCGATATCCGATATTTAAAACCTTGCATAGTAGCTGTGATCCTAGCTTTAAAGAGCATTGATGTAAGCCTCACAGCTAGCCATCTCTTAGACACCCCTACATCACCAGGTGCACCAACACTACCAACAATTACCACATTGCCACTGGCAAGTCTTTCCCCATTTCCAACTATCCAACAGCCTTCTTTCCCAACAATTCCTACCCTTCCCATGCAAACTCTCTCTCCTATGCCTGCCGCTACATTGTCAAAGCTTGGACCTCCGCCGATGCCTGCAATTCCCATGATCCCCACATTTCCTGCAACATTGCCTCCTCTGCCTTCTGTTCAGATACCGAGAATTGCCTCCATACCTGCAGGCATTCCAACTATTCCTGGTGTTCAGATATCAGCCCTTCTTTTCCTCTCCCCACCGCTGCCAGCCACTAGTCCTTCAAGATTTTGATGCCGATATAAATGGAGTTACTTTAGTGTGATACGCGACTTATTGAGGTAAGATGCGTTCAGTCCTGAGATTGAAGTGTTTGTGTGAGTGTGATATGAGGTTCTTGTGGTTCAAGCTTATACATTATGTTGCTTACATGTTTATTTGTAATAGTTCATCAATTGGTTACTGGCTTCCTTATATTTGTTTAAGAAAGATCTACAGTGTTTCCACTATATCAGATTAACCTGACGTAAAATGGCATGTTTTAAAAGCTTATTTCAACAGTTATGAAAGGTAAAAGAAACAGGTCCGACTTTGAAAGATGATTACCCAAGGTGAAGTTTCACTAGGAAAGAAATTTAGTTAAAAGAAAATTTCTGAGTTTGGCCAACAGATTTCAACTAGTAAATCGTCTGAGGAAAAAGATGAGAAAACAACCTCTGAACCATCCAAACAAGTACTTTGGTTTAAAGGTACCATCAAAACTAGGCAGATCTCCAAGAAATAAATCTCATCATGACAGGTGAAAGAACAATGATTGAGATGATAAACAAATAGTGAGCATTTGTGTTTAAGACAGATCACCAATCTAATCATCACTTCCAAACATGAACCCGTTCTACATTTGCCAGCCTGCATAGTCTTTCTCCATGATTCGTTTCCCAGAATATAAAGAACCAAGTTTATATGCTGTAAAGCTCCCAAACACCTGCCAAATAGAACATTTTTTGTATAGTCCTTCCTAGTTTAGGTAGATCACATAGGACTATAGAAGCACTTCTTGTGGGTTGAGCAAAATATGCGGACAATATATTTATTAATGGCTTGGATCCTGATATGAACTTTTGACACAATTGAACCAAGACCCACCTGATATGAACTTTTGGATTATTTCCAGCATTTTCTATCATTAGGTAAATGAATATTTAATAACAGTCATTTTAGGAGTTAAACATTTGTGATTTCCTTTTGACACTATGGGGAAAAAACTATATTCTCAATTTGTCTATCTAAGCCCAATTTCAATAAAAATACAATGGCATTGAACTTAAAGGGATATAGTTGTTAAAGCTTAAAAATGACCACAATGGATAGATTAAGCTCGTCATAATACAAATCATAAAATTCCTTAACTATCAATTAACTTATTAAATTTATCATTAATTCAATTTTTTGAAACCAAGGGTACAGATGAAAAACAACCTAAAAATGACTATGCAAAAGGCAAGACTGGATATGTTTTAAAAAAATCATAAGTTGTCTCAGTTCCAGCCTATAGTGATGACATATAATCAAATAAACAGGTGGTTCAACATACCTACACTGTTGAGTCTGACATAAAACTTAGCCTACACCTACACGTGATCGACAGCCATAGACCTGAATGTCAATGTAATGGACAAAACCATCTACACAGCAAACCATGCGAGTTGCATGACCTCAATTGATATATTCATGCCAGATATATGCTTTACTTTACTTAAACTATGGACTAACCTTAAGCAAAAATATCGCTACTCTTCTCCAATAGAAATAATTATCCATCAATGAAAGTTCACGGTTTCTTAAGAGTAAGATGAACCAAAATTAAACAGAACAATGTTAAAACCAAAATTACATTAGTCAGAAAATGTGATAAGTCAAGAGCAAGAACATGATGCCGATGATGAGTAAATTCTTTATGCAGAAGTCAGCCAACGATAGAAATCTCTTAAATTTTCACTAATGTAATTGAGCAAAACATAAAATAAAGTAGTTAAAACAAAATGATGTAGCAATAGAAAACAAATATCCAAAGTAACATTTAGTTAACACGTAGTTCAACTGTCTAATTTCTCACCACATGTCAGCAATCTAGATGAGGAGAGCAAAAACCGACATTTAACAACAGATGATCCATTTCCAACTCCAGAATGGCTACACCAAAACCCTAGAGTTTGTAGAAGTTTACAACTATGGCCTCTCACGAAAACCTTAGCTTTCGGTTTATCCCTGCTATGCATCGATTCAAGCTCTGCAGTTCGCTAAATTTTAGACACCTCAACAGCATCAGAAGCACCAACCCTCCCAGCTATTCCAACACTGCCTATGTCGAGATTGCCACCATTACCAACTGCCCAATTGCCTCCTCTCTCCACAATGCCTACACTCCCAAAATCGGCTCCGTCACCAATGCCAACTGCTACATTGCCTAAATCTTGCACTTCCACCAATGTCGGCAATTCCCACTGTTCCTACAACACTGCCTCATTAGCCTTCAGCTGAAATACCAACTATTTCCTCCAGTCCTACAGGAATTCCTCCATTACCTTCCATCCCCACAACCATTCCTGGATTTCAGATACCACCTATTCCTTTCCTTTCTCCACATTCATCAGCCAAAAGTCCTTGAAGATATTGATGTTGATTATTGGTTGAGTTAATTTACATCTGTTTACGAGTCATTAAGATCGTACTATGCATTCATATTTAGTCTGCTATGTTCACTTATTATGTGAGGTTTATGTGCTTTGTATTTACCAATTATATTGCTTCTTTGTATTTGATTTGTAACATTCATCGACTGAATTATTGACTTCCTTATATTTGTTTCACAATTTGGTACATATTGGCTTTGCTTATTTTTATTTTATAAGTTTAACCTGACAACGAATGTTGGCATATCAAAAGTGTGCAAATCAAAAGTGTGTATTTCATCGATACGTTTTCAGAAGAAAATTAGTATTTGGTTTAATATTTGAGTTAATTCTTAATGGAGAAGTCAACAGAACAAAAAAATCTGTTAAGTCTTATTAACATCTTAGAGCAGAAAAGGATTAAATTGTTGTTAAAGTACTTGCCACTGGAAAAATAACACTTCGGAACAAATTGAACTATTTAGTGAACATGTCTAGCTCTCTTAACTTCCCACAAATAAACAGCTGAGGATAGTGGAAGAAAATAAATGAGAAGCTGAACAAACAACAAAAACTTATTAGCAACAGATCACCTATTTTCCAACTCTAAGAGATCATTCCACATTTTGTCCCAAAAAATCAGCTCAAGTTAGGAGATTGATGTACACAAAGAACACAGAAAGAGCTAGACAACTCCAAGAGGTAGATAATTAGAAGTTTTAGCATTTCAAAATTATGGCTTCATACACCTGAGTTCATCTTAGCTCAAACTCTGGCCTCAGCAAGAATTGATGGAAGCCTCAAACCTGCCACATTTGAGATACCCCAAATGGAGCAGCTGCACAAACACTAACATTGTCATTCCTACATTGGCGCCATACCAATTGCCTCCTCTCTAAACAATTCCTGCAGTCCCAAATCCAACTTTACTGTGCATTGCAACTGCAACGTAGTTCAATAGACAGGCTTAATAGATAGGTTGACTTCAGTTCTAACCAATCTGGGTGGTATATAGTTCAATAAAAAATGGGTGAAGTCGTGCCTACACTGTCTGATCTAAACCAAAACCTCCCCCACTCATGATTAAAAACAGACATAAATGACAACGTAATGGGGAAAAAAACTCTTTTAATCCAGTTGACAGGCATGCTATTGCATGGCCTCACTTGATATATCCTGCCTTTCCTTCATAAAAGTTATGACTAAAATTGAACAAAAAAATTGCTTAAAAAATTGAACAAAAAATTGTTGTGGCACTTCTACATGTTTTCTAATAAAAATAACTAGCCATGAACAATAAATCTTTTCACAATTTCTTAATAAGTTAAATAGTGAATCGAAATAGAATAAGATGTCTGTAGAAAACAAAAACTACAGAAGAAAATCAAAACTGTGATAGATGGCGTAAATTATTTCATTCATTAAGGCCAATATCAAAATACACAATAATTGATCTGTTCAGAAGGTGGATGAAAGATTTTTCAAAAATCAAAAATTAATATTTTCATTGCCTTACCTTAAGAAATAGAATAAATTGTAATCCGCAAGTGAAGTAGGACGCTAAGAAACAAGTGTAGACATAGAGGGTAGTAACGCTATAATTCTAACGTCCCATTAATGGTGATTAGAACATTAAACTGAAGGAAGATTTCAGCTAAAATTAGCAGTCAGGTTAATTCCTAGAAATAACAAATAACAAATACAGAACAGAACAATTATATTTATCAAGAATGTACAAAAAGATTGATTTTGATTCACCTTTCTAATCAGATCTAGGTTCAAACAGTATTGAAATTACCCAATTTTTTGAGTTACGAACAGGAACTTTGGTGATTTCATATATATGAAAGGCAATGATTTTGTTAGGCAATATTTACAAAGATCAACAGTAGGTTTATTGTAGTGCAGAAACATCTAATGTTAGTATGGACTATTGAGTATAAATACTATACAGAAAAATCTCCACTTAACAGGAAAAAATAACTTGTTGAAGAAATTGGAAAAAGACGGTCTCAATCTGATTTACGGGACCAAATTGACGGTCTCAATCTGATTTTCTAGACCAAATTTAAATCAGTAATTTACTTTAGATATCCTTGTTGAGCATTTTATTGTGAACGATAGAGTAAAATTCACAAAAATACCATAAATTATTAGAGCATTTACAAAAAAAGTCCCATAAATTATACTTAACCAGTGAAAAAGAACATAAACAATTTTATTAAACTACCATTGACTGTCAGACATTATTGTAAGTTGGCACATGATATAAATGTGATACATTTTGGACCATTTTGCCCTTATTTATTTTATATAACTGCTCTCTCATTCTTCCCCCTTCTTACTTGTTAGGGGTATTTTAGACTTTTTAACAATGTCATTAACACAGCTACTGTTATTTTCTGATATGTGTGGCATTTTTCTGCAGATATAAAAGTTCATGGCAGTTTTCCCTAATAAAAATAGTTTATGATAGTCTTTTTTTTTCGAAGTCCCAAGTAGTTCATGGTAGTTTTGTGAAATTACCCTAAACCAAAACTGAGGAATAAGAAAATAAGAACGAACAGCAATTGGAATATGACACTTGAGCGTGTTCTTAAGAAGTCAGAAGCAGCTTCAATTGAGGCAAGTTAAAGCAGGTCCATAAGATTTAAGGAAAAGTCAGACATGTTAGACAAGAACTGATGTGACCAATTAGCCATATCATTGCCAGGATATGATGCTCATGAAAAGTTAATTCTTTACGTATAAGTCAGTAACGAGGAATTTCTAAACCCTTCACTAACATACTGAAGCAAAGTGAGGATAAAGTCATTACTACAGGATGAAGTAGCACAGGGAAACAAATATTTCAATGTACTGTTTGGTCAAACATGCAGCTCAATCCTCTAACTAACTACCAATGAAACAGCCAACCTAGACCCCACTTTGACATAAGGAGCAAATAAGATGACAAGGTGAACAAACAATGAACACCTACATTTCATAACAGATTACCTATTTTGGACACCATAGAGATTATACCACATTTCTTCTGCATAAACATGTCCCAAACCTAGAGATTGCTCTACACAATACAAAGAAGAAAGAACTTTGGCATGTTTAGTAGTTTACAATTATGGCCTCCTATACTTTGATCACCTTCACGGCTTCACTTTCCTTCTAGTCCTACTAAACATTAATGCAAGCCTTGCAGCTCGCCATCTCTTAGACACCCGAGCACCAGATGCATCAACCTGACCTACCATTCCAACGCTGTGTATGCTAGTGCTGCCTCCAGTTTCAACCACTCAACCGCCTCCTCTCCCCACAAATCCTACACTTCCAATGGGAGCTCTGCATGCCAGCGGCCACATTCCCTAAGCTTGCACTGCAACCAATGCCTGTCATTCCCACAATGCCCACTGTTCCAACAACATTGCCTCCTTTACCTTCTGCTCAAATACCAACTATTCCCTCCATTCCTACGGGTATTCCCCCATTTCCCACAATCCCAACAACCATTCCAACTAATCCTGGAGTTCAGATACCACCTATTCCTTTTCTTTCCCCACCTCAAGCAGCAACTAGTCCTTGGCCATCTTGAATTCTTGATGTTAATGGAGTTAATTTATAGCTTTTTATGGGTCAGTGAGCTGGTCGAATATTTCACTTTTAGTTTGTTATGTTCATTTGTGATGTGAGGTTTATGTGGTTTGTATTTATTGATTATATTGCCTGTACCTATTTGATTTGTAATAATCATCAGCTGGATTACTGGCTTCCTTATAGTTGCTTCAAACTTAAACGTATTCATTATACAATTTAGTACAATTCTGAAAAAATGTATGCATATATATATAAGGAGTGTCGAAGAAGTATCGGGTAAGGGTACGGGTAAGAGATGACTCGGGATGGTTTCATGATAGAAGTACCCAAGCAACATAGGCGCGCTCCAGCATCTTTGATATTACAATCCAGCCTGTTGGAGTTATAAGAAACAAAAACAAAGGGGGAAAAAAGTAGCTACAATTGGATAAGTAGTTATTATATACAAGAAAGCATTATTAATCATAATGTTGCTAGGCTCTAAGAAACATGAAAAAATTCAGTCAATTTATAATTTGTACTGATTAACTGATTTTGAAATTTCCAGGCAGTAAACTAAAGGTGTAAATCAGTAATAACATTCTTCAATCTAGCCAAACGAATAACTAATGATCAGATTTATTTACCATACACGTAGAAATATTAGCACATATAGAAGATTGAAACATATAAGAGATACATATAGATTTATATACACAGGGAAGTTAAGGTATTCTAGGGGAAGTACAAGTTTACCTTCTGAAATTTCAGGCGATCTGACAGAAATCAGGTGACACAATCAAGGAAGTTATATTCCTTTCATAATTCCCAAAGTTGTACTTTTCAAGCAATTTGATCATGAATCAAGAAGAACAGATGTAACCAAAACCAGTGCTAATGGCTGAAGGACTCTAGTTTACTGCAGCAAGTGGATTTGATCAAAATTCTCCAGGTGTCTTCGATCGTAATCTATGAAGATGACAATGGTGAAGCCACCTTTACCAGTATCATAGTCCTGATTTATCCTCAACTTTAAGAGATTGGGCCTGTTGCAGATCAAGCAACTCAAGGGAATATAGAAATTAATGCAAAGGCATGTTTCAGTACGGAAAATCTGCATTAATTCTAGGAGCAAAAAACAGACAATCTTGTGTAATAAGAAATTATACATATTTGCAAATGTATACAAAGAAATTCAAATTAAAAGATGCTGAAAATATTACCCAGTGATGTAGTTAAAAAATTGAATGATGGATAACCAAGTTGAAATGTCAATGCATTAAATTCTTAGAAAAATGCACCCTATTTCAGTCTAAGTTGCTTGACTTCCAGGATGCATTTTTGAGAAAGCAACAAAAACACAACTAAATTCATGATTAATGGATAGAAAATTATTACTGTCATGAACAAAAGGTGAATAGTAGCACTTACAAGAGCTGAGCTCAACTGGTGTGCTGTAGGCCGCAGCATATATCGGAAACCAAAACTGCAGGTAGAGCACAGATCTATTCTCAAAATTTATTGAGCTTTTGCTTGTGGTAAAAAAGTCAGCTTTTGAAATTATTTAGGATTTTTTTCGTTGGTATAGCCCTTTCATTACTACTAATGGTGTATACCTCTTTTCTCCTTCACAAGTAGATAGAGATTGTTTTAGCGAACCACGTTATAATTTTTCTTTTTGTGCATGTATTCTGATTACAATTTGATTACAAAAGAGAAGAGAATGAATTTTGTTCTCTCCTTTGTTTAAAACTGGGTTCTTCTCAGTGGCGATGGAATGCCTCCTTCGATTGCTCGCGTCGAATTTGCTCTCCGTTGACGATCCGACCGTCTTTTATCTCGTGGGAACGATGAACTTCTGTGGAAAGTTTAATGGATAACTCTGAATGAGTTTAAGAACTTTGAACGAGTTAGAACTCTGTTAATAGAGTTGTTAGAACCGAAAATTCGGTTAATGACCAAGCTGATATTCTGTTGTTGAAGAATCCTCTCAGATTTGATCTTCTGAATTTGATTCAAAAATCCTATCTCCAAGGACTTTTCTGTTGCTGCTGTTGAATCACCAAACCTGAGTGGTTGAGATCCTCAAAAATCCAACCTGCTGCCAACTCTTCCGCTCCAAAAAGCCAGCCCTCAGTGGTCGATCTGAGCCAAGAAATTCCCCCCTCGCTGCCCAGTTGAGTTTACTCGCTTTTATAGGGGATTAAGGGGGTGTAACTGCCCTCTAAATCCGCTCCTAAGTGGGCGTGATTTCCTCAGATCGTGGGGAAAACGGTTCTGAAACCGTTCTGAAACCGTTCGACTCATATTTGAATGAGTCAAACACCCAACCTGGCGTTGATTGAGACGCGAGGTTGGGTGTTGACTGAACATCCAGAACGCGAGGGTCGCTCACGTTTCGCTTGTTGTAACGTGGGTCCGACTCCAGCGTTTTGATGTTGTAACGTGGGTTCGACCCTCGCGTTTTGATGTTGTAACGCGGGATCGACCCTGACGTTTTGATGTTGTAACGTGGGTTCGACCCTCGCGTTTTGATGTTATAACGCGGGATCGACTCCAGCGTTTTGATGTTGTAACGTGGGTTCGACCCTCGCGTTTTGATGTTGTAACGCGGGATCGACCCCGGCGTTTTGATGTTGACACACGGGGAGGACCTCCGCGTCTTGTCTTGAAGAGATTATCACAAAGTAATCTCTTTTGTCATAGCGTTGCAAAGATCATTGTCTTGTAATCTTCGTCTTGGCTCCTTGAGAATATGAGAGTCGTCAGATTGTAACTCCCGATGTTGATTATGAATGCTATTGAACTAGAGCTCTCATCGGTTGTCGTGAAGGTCGTCAGATTGTAACCTTCAGCGATCTACGTGAAAGTCTTCAAATTGTAGCCTTCTGGAAGTCGTCAGATTGTAACTTCCATCATCGGTGTTTGATGGAGGATAAGCTATCTATTGTGATTTTTAGACAGCCTACAGCAAGTTGTCTAATCTGTTCGCGTAATCTATTCTCCATTTGACAGCCATCTCACATATCAAACACCCAACTTGCTTCCGCAATACCAAAAAAATTCACACTTCTACTCCTGCCAAATGCCAAAGAAAATCAGGACTGCAAGCAAAATATGAGGCTACAGATTTCCACATGATTTTGTTTAAATGGCAAAAATTATTCGCTCCCAGTTTCTTCAATATTACAAGCCAATCCATTGCAATAAATATTCAAAGGAAAAAATGAAAACAATGAAGGAACAAGCAGCAACTGAATGAATAAGAAAAAGGCAAGAATGATTTGTCATGATTTTGTTAACTTGCATAAAGCAAGCAAGAAACTTTCAATTGGGGATGTGTCCCTACTTGACTGATCAAAAACTAAATGAAATAATTCATCATTATATTAGCCATTCTTGAAGACAGAAAAATTTGCATATGTATAGAGGTTAAACCATCTCATAGTCACATGAACTGGTACATACATATTTACTAAGGTAATGGTCGCAAAAAAGAGGTGAAGATATTCTTATGGAAGAATATCTTCACCTGCTAAAATTGCAGATAAAAATGACAAGGAACAAATGATACAATTCGGTTTGAAATTATGATTCCCCATCATCATTTTAGGAGCAATACATTCCTAGTCATCTGATCATGGACCATTCAACTTCAACCAAAACCGGTTCTAATGTTTGAGAAATTCCAACTTTCTGCTGCAAGAGGAGTTGAGTGAATCCTCCAGGGCCTCAATTCGATCATAATCTACCTTGAAAGTGATCATGGTGATGCCATCTTTTCCAGTATCATAGTCCTGCTCAATGCCCTCAACTTGAAAAGATTGGAGCTGTCAACAATTCAGTGAAGTAACAGAAATCAATTTCGAGGCATAACTAAATACAGAAATCACTCCATTACTACTAAGAGTAATAATATCTTATATAATAATTGAATTATGTCGATTCATTTGGGTATACGTTGTAAGTCAACTTCTACTTACTGTTTTCACTTTAACAAATAACATAGCTAGAAGTCGGTTTACATCATTTGTAGGCATCCTCAACATGGCAAAAGCATCAGATTTATAGCAAAATCCATGAAGCAGTAAATACCTACATAATCTAAATCGCCCACATGAACTGCCTAGTGATATCGCAAGTTTATCTCATTTCTGTGGAGACTCTTCGACAATTGCAATACACATACTAAAGTAAAGACACTAAACCAAGTTTATATATTAGACTATGGAAGGATAGAGCCAAATTCTATTTGGCATTTGATTTCATCCTCTTAATCATCCCCTGAAAGTGGGATTCACTACGAGAAATGAGATCCATTAATGAATTGAAGGTTTAACAAACAGCTCTCAATCTGACATCAGTCTTTTATGAGTTGGTGCCATGGGTTGTAGACATTCAAAAACGTCAGACCGTCAATTAAATGCCTCACATGCTATGTCGGACCCACCAAGGGCAAAATGGTCATTTAATATGGCCAATGGACTTGTTAAAAGTCAAATGAGTCTATGATTGACTAAGGGTACAAGTCTGCAGAACCCTAGGTCAATGCAAGATGAGGATCAGTTTCAAAACCCACATGCGAGGTTTGAATTGTCACGCAGGGCTAACATCTAATGCATGAGGCTGAATCATCTAGAGAAGCTATCAGCCTCGCACCACATGTGAGGTTAGCAATTCCCTGATGCACATGAGGTTAATGAGGTTAAAGGGATGCCATGTCAGCCTTCTAATAGTCACTAGCAGTCAGGACAGCAACATGGCAGAAGAATGCAGAACAGAAAACACAAAATGCCCACAATCGATTACGCGGGGCTACAAAACGTAATTGACAATACGTGAGGCTATTTCACCAGTGTAAACTGCAGTTTTTGTTAAAAAGTAGGAGAATTTTTTAAAATAGACCCTTTCACCAATATACTTATCATTTTCGACCTCTTCGCAAAGTACTTATCAAAATTGATCTAGTTTCAATCACGTCAGCATCGTGCGCCAAAACTAGGTCAATTCTAAACAAAATTGTTTACAAACCCCACGGGATGTGAATCCCGTAGAGTATAATTGGTAATTAATCTCTATGGGATTCCATGTAATTAGCAAAAGCCACTAATTATACTGGATTGCCAATCCCATATATAATATTTCAATGCAAATTTTAACAAATGTCACACTGGGTCAAGTGGTTTTAGATCATAATTTTTAGCCTTCTCCTTGGAAGGTAGTGTGTTCAAATCTCACATTTGTCAAAATTTGTATTTACTTTTTAATTTTTCCTTTCAATGTTGGTAAAATTTCGAAATCCCGTACAAGATTTCCAAAAGTTTTACTAAAATAAAATAGAAAGGAAAAAAAACAAATGACAGATGTGGGATTTGAACCCACACCCATTTAAAACAAGTCTTACGACTAGCACCTAAGACTATTAGATCAAACTATCTAATTTGTTGGAAATTATATAAATGTAGTATGTACAGGATTCATAATCCCATAGACTTTAATTGAGTATTTAAACTCTATGGGATTCCCAAATCCGTAAAGTTTGTAAAATATTTTTTTCAAAGTCGGCCTTATTTTAGCACACGAGGTTGACATGGCTGAAACTATCGATTTTGAAAAATACTTTTAAAATAGGTCAAAATGGTAATTATTTTTATGCAGTGTTCTAATTTAAAAATTCCTCCTAAAAAGTATTGCTTAACTCTAACTGTAAAAACAACGTACACTGCAAGCTGTCAAACTAGGGGGCAACCCTATGTCAAGTTAAGGGGGCAACCCTATGTCAAGTTAAGGGCGTCTCAAGCAGAATTTTCCCTCTATAAATAGAAACTCTTAACCCACATCTCAAGGGCTCAATTCTTGCTCCACTTTTAACTCAAGTTTTCAGAGAAGACTCCCATTTGCTCAGGTTTTTTCTGTCCAAGGCTCATGATCGACTTTCTCTCATCTCGGGTTGCTTATGCATTATGTGGCTTTATCATAAGCTTGGCACTAGCCAAAATTTATCAAACTCCCCCCCCCACCCCCCCCCCCCCCCACCCAAGTTTTTCAAGGATTCATTCACCTACAACGCGCTCAACTCTTATACTCTTTTGGATCAATATTACCCTCGAGATACTCAAAAACTTCACCAACTGAAGCTCCCTTCAAGCAAAAGTTAGATCAAATGCCAACGACCCTCAACTTGATCATGCGGTCCACGACGCGTAAGATTCAGACCTTACTAGGCACATCAACTACCCAGAAAAATAAAGATGAAGTAATTCCACTCTAGTTAGTTCCCAAAACGATAAGAAGTGCAATGGCCTCTTCACAATCAACCATAAACAATGGTAACTTTGTAAGAAAGATAGAATGATGAGAACCTTGCTAGCCAGTTTGACAACTATAGAAAACAGTGGCAGTCCTGACACCAAATGTAGTTGGGTTGGGCTAAGCCCTAGATAGGTATAGGTCCACATTGATAGACTATCCTTACCAAATTAATAAATGGAACAGTTAGGGCAAAACTCTTCCTGTTTTGACCTGATGGTATTATTAATTATCATATAATATAAATAAGAATAATATTTGCGTAGTTGTCACATTGTTATTTAGCTTTACTACCAGATGCTAGTCCTACGCTTACTCTTTTTATTGAAAATTGTAAAAATATATATTACAACTTCAATAAGTTGAGTAAACCACATTCTATTCCTTTGAGATGAAAACACTAGAACTTAGTTTTTTCTAGCAGTAACTTTTGTGCACATAGCTTGTAGAAATTTTTTAATTATGCCATCTTAATTCAAAACCATTAACAACAGGAATACTTCAGTTAGGTTCAATTTACTTAATCACCAGGCTAGTCAAGCAAGAGTCACAAAGCTTAACCCAATTATAGATCAAGCCGAATTTGATTCCTTAATCAAGCTGGTTATGTTTTCTTCAGTTAAGCTAAATAAAAATTTATTCATGATAATTGGGTAACTCGAATCTGATTAGTTTTACCCTACTAATGTGTGTGTGATGAATATGGGTATTATTGGCACCAAGGACCAAGTTTAGTCCTTGATAGTGAGGTGATCACTTCCCATCCGCTCATCTAAACATGAGAAACCAAGTGAGCAGCATTTTCAAGTAAAGGCATTTAATGTGTGGCTCAAAAGTGGTCTCACTACCAAGGACAAAGCTTGTCCTTGGTACCAAGAATGCCTCTCCTTTCTTTCCCTTACCAAGGACAAAGCTTACCCATCACTTTCAGCTATTAATAGCTCATTTTGCTAAATAAACCGCCACCTCATAATCATCAATCCCATGTGTATTACTCCGGTCATGTCTATCTCTGCCTTAGTCAAAGTCAAAGCTAGCCCAAGCAAAGCCTCATTCAATCATGAACATTTAGGGCTGCTTGTCTAGCCGCTTTAGCCTCTGCGATAGGAGCAAGCCTCGATTTTCCCCAAGACTAGGAAAGATTCTGACAAACAGGTGAAAGGATAATTTATATAAGATGTTCCAATGCTAAGCAAATAATAATAATAATTTCAAAGAGCCAAAAGGATAGAGGAAGGGAAGTGAAAAGGTTCACCTCGTTTGGGAGATATTTTTAAAGGGAATGGAAGGGAGTTGACGTGACAAATTTAATCTCAATTATCCTCCATTCTATATGATTTGATTCCTGATATGAAAATAACGGTTAATAAATGATTCCCCTCCATTTCCTTTACTGAACTCCCAAACATGATATTATGTTTTCCTCTCCTTTCTTTCCCTTACCCTGTCCTATTTTTCCTTCACTTCTTTTTCCTTCCCCTCCATTAGTAAACTCCCAAACATAGTGCAATAAATGTGAAACAAGAATAGCATATCCCAAAACTTATTTAGTTTATTTGCTAACTTGAAATGTATTGTTTCTAGAAGATTACATGTCACTAATATCTTTACAGCTTTAACTTTTTGATGTTTTTATATTTATTGATACAACCTTGTCATGCAATAGCAAACTAGAGATGATCATTAGTAGTACAAAATACACTATTAACTCAATGCCTAACCATTTAACCAATGACTAGTGTTTCACTTGCAGTTGCACACTTTTATCTACAAGTGTTCCACAGTTGTGGTGTTAATGCAATATAGGTCTATTAGTATATTATCTATTAGCCTTTACTTGTCTATGTTGTTTCTCCGACAACTGTTTACAGCCTTCATTTTGATCACCACATGCCTAAGTTGCACAGGTATGGGTGCGTTGTACGGGTATGCCGGGACACGATAAATTTGTAATAGGAGAATTCATGAGATATAATCATGGTTCTGAGCTATAAATGTGAACGACCATTTTGAATCATAGCTCTTAAGGCTGAAACAAACTCGACCCTTGTCCACAAAGTTACAAAAATAAATGTTAAGTGTAGAATATATATCCAAGAAGTGTATGACGAGTGTTTTAAATTAAAAATGCATTGTATAATTGAGTACATATCTAAATAAATGTATGCCTACATTAAGGAGTGTCGAAGAAGTGTTGGGCATTGATATGGGTACGACATGTGTTGGGTATGGGCATGACTCTGCATTTGAAGTACCCATGTAAATAACACATGCATACACATGTTAATATGCATAATATATATGTGAATTCAACACATAGCTGAATTAGATGAAGGATTTTACCTAAGCGTTCATGCACAGTAAAAACAATGTTCTAACAAGTAGAAAATGAAAATAAAAAAGGGTTTTTTCTGATATCCATCCCCTCCCCAAATTCATCTTTATTTTAAAGTAAATCTTCCAAAAGATGGAATTAAAAAATAAGTCCACCAAGTCCTTTCAAGTCACACCAAATCGGTTCGCCTAGTTAAAATTTTAAAGGATTTGGGCGATTTATTTTATCCATCTATTTTTTGGGGGGCTTATTTTACAATGAAGACAAATTTGGGAATCAATAACATAAAATTGCAGATAAAAATAAGAACTACAATGTACAAGTGAACAAGCAAAATACACATTCAAACTCATCATTAGGACTTGAAAAAAGAAGTCATGATTCTATTCTACAGTCCATGAACCAAAGAAAGTCATATAATGTTTTTCTATCAACTTGATATGCACCTGATGATACACAGTTCCCAACAATTCAAATGGCACCTCAACACCAATTGGGGCCTGCAATATAATATTCAAGTATTATAATGAGCTTTTAAAAAGATGAAATGTCTAGTCTTATTTGTTTATTCTACTTGGCATTAGCCCTAGGAAAGCGTTTCTCTAAGAGAAGACAAAGAAAAAACAATCTGCCAGAGAACAATATATTACTTTGGGTTTTACAAAACAAGTTGTAGCACTTTTGAGGCATTCTAGAGCAACTCCTCCATAAGCCCTAACCAATCCTCCAGTTCCCAGCTTTATACCTCCAAAATACCTGTATAAATAAAAAACAATTTAGACGTGACTGTCAAATGACAGAGATCTTTTATCGTGAACTAAATTACCAGAATATCAAAAAATTATTAAAATATAGGAACTGAGATTTTGGATCAAGGATCACTAAATTAAGTAGTAATGATCACCTAATGACAACCACCATCACCATGTCGATACCCGAGGAGACAATAGCAGAATATATCGGCTTTCCAGCTGTCCCTGAAGGTTCCCCATCATCATTACTGCGATATTGATCTCTGAGCTACATAAACTCATTCGCCAGAAAATAAGGAACATAAAGATTGTAAGGAACCATAAATTTGCTAACTGGTCAACAATATATTACCTTGTATGCCCAGCAATTGTGAGTAGCACGGGGATCTTGAACCTTGAATTAAAGAAAAGGAGAGATTAAAACAAAGGAATTATTAACCAGCAATTCAGATCCTAAGCATGTTATGCTATAAAATGCAAAAACTATCACCGAAGATGCTGATGTTCAAGCATTCTTCAGTTTCCATTTTTCTACCGTCTAAGGCCCATTAGACTATCTACAAACTGAACTATTTATATAGGTAAAGAAGAAAATACATTGTCACAAAACAAGCAGGTAAATAGACTCCTAGACATATCAGGTAAGACAATAAAAACACGACGCCATCTTAACAGCTGGTTTCTAGGTTTCTTATCAAAAAGCTCACTACATCATAAAGAGTTAGCACCAATCTGCAGAGGAATTCTTGCATCAGCCAGGGGTAAGCATTAACTTGCAGAGGGCTAACATGACTGGCAGTGAAAACAATTATGTCGCGGAGGCTTCCTAAGCATATGGAGTTTCTGCACACACCCAAACTCAAGTGGAAAAAGGAATGAATAATGGTGCTAGTATAATGGACCTGATAGGAGAATACCTGTTGTTGCCGGCAAAACTGCCATGATAAAAAAATCCTGATCAACTAAGAATGTGCCTAGGACTTGCATATGGACAGTCCATAAACTGTTGACTGGAAACAGCGAGAAGCCTAGGATCAATCTAAATGGAGATAGAAATGGAGATGCTGCTGCATGACCTTAATTTTAAAAACAATTAGTCGCCATTAGGAGCCTGTCAGTCTAGCCAATAATAGAATGGGATAAGGGAGTGTCAATGACATGGGACTGTTAATAGAATGGGATTGTTACAGAAATTATGACACCCTCTTCTTATCATTAATTTCTTGTGTCTTTCTGATTTAAGTATTTCACACCCACTTTAAAAAAAAAAGGAGAACAAGCACCTTGGCGTCCACCTAAGCATCTGGCCGCTCAGTGCCGGGTCCAGCACCCAGAAGCACTCAGCGCTTTACAAAACCCTGGTTCAAGTCGTGAATCCAAAAATTTTTACAATGGATTTATTACATCAGTGCATGTTGGAAAATCAAACCCTCTTCACTAGAGTCCTTCATCGATTTAATAGAAAAATCCTCACTTTCACGACTTCGTCAACCTTCATGGAGGTGAAGATGAATAAACACCAACATCTCTTAAAAAAATGTGGTGGAAAGATTTACTTAACTATTGGGTGCATCTTCTACCTACATATTTTGGTTTCAAATAGCTACTCGTCAAGGTCTTTTTTCCCCATCTCCTGCAAAATCTAATACTCTACAATGAGCCAGCTTCATTTTGAAATCAAAATCTTGTCAACAATTCCATCACTTGCTCGTGGTGTAAATTGTCAACAAGAAGAACTTAAATTGCACATACGAAATCATAAATTACAACCTTTTGCCCCAAATTATAGGCCAATTTCAATTAACATCCAGTTGATTCAAAGGAATATAAATAATGGATTGGAACCGAAAATGAGGGTTTAAAAACAACATTTCTCATTAAAATAAAAAAAAACCTAACGCGAAGAACGACGGAATAATAATAAACCATAAAAATGAATTGGATTAAGAAAACCTCGTTGAGAAAAGAATGGGCAGATCGCTCGTCGGAGATGGGAGCGGCGATGGCGATGAACTTGCTCTTCTTAATCTCGCGCTCGAAGGTGGCGCGATCTTTGAGAGTCGTGTACGAAGGCGGCGGGGGCGGCGGCGACGACATCTTCGACCGGTTGATGATTCCGGTGACGCGAAGGGTTGCCGTGCTCTCTGCTCTTGATGCTGCGGTCCCAAGGAGGGCGGAGGATGAGAGACGAGGCGGTACTCTTACCACCATCGGGCTTTCTTATTAGAATTAGAAAAGTTGGTTCGGTTAAAGCTCAAAGGGGGCAGACTCGCCAATACGGGTGGCGAACGGGTCCGGTAGGATCAATTTCGGATCGACGCAATCAGATCCGTTTGTTTTATGGATTAGAGCTTTGCTACACTGACCCAAAATATGGGAGTAATAGAGGGGACAAGTGAGGTGTCTCCCACCTATTGGATAATGAGTTGGCCATCATTATCCAATAAGAGAGAGACACCTCACTTGTCCCCTCTATTGGTCCCATATTTTGGATCCTTGAGGAATTTTTCTATGGATTATTCGACTCGATCCGTCGCCCGTATAATAAACAGGGGGGTTTTAGATATTAGTCCCTTAAACCATACCTACTTTCGTATCAGTCCCTCAAATCTTTATATTTTAATATTAGTCCCTCAAATTGCGTTAAGCTGTTGATATTAGTCCTTATGGTTAGTTGGTGTAAAAAATGCAAGGAATATTTTGTTAACTTTAACCCTAGCCATAAATCTATATACTATTACTAAAAACTGTTACCCTTCAAAACGCCACTTGGCAAAAATGACACGTGACAAATTCTCCTTTTTTTAAAAAAATCTATATCTTCTATTAAAATGTTACCCTTGAACATGCCGCTTGGCAAATTCACCTTTTTTTTATTTCCTAAATAAAAAATAAATTCCCCTTTACCTGAGAACCACCTCATATGAGCAACTCCAATGGGGAGGCTGCAAAATGCAGCCTCCCCAAAGAATATTATTGGGAATATGCTTTTTTAGAGGGGGGGCACTCCAACCATCCCCTCTATATGAAGCTCTATTTGTATTTCCAATTGATTTTTTTTATAATACTTTAAATAGATTTGAAGATATAAAAAATATAAAATGTTAAAAAATTATATAAATTAATTTAAAATATAAAATATATTAATAAATTAATACTAAAAGTTAAAAATATGGAGATAACGGAAACTGAACGATTCCAACGGTTCCTTGCTCGACATAAGAGGTTGAAAAACAAAGAAGCTCATTTTGCACTTCGAAATGCATTGATTGAACATTTGTGGGAAAGACATGGAAATGAAGCGATGTAACTTTTTTTAATAATAAAATAATTACTTTTTTATTTTTAATTACTTAGTTCTTGAAATTTTATATTTTAATTAATATTATTCAATATTAGTCTCATTTTGAAGGTATCGACAAAACATTTTCAACTGTAAAACTTTTATTTAAAAATAATTACTAGAAATAAACTTATGTTGATTTTAAATTAAATATCTAAAAATAATTAGTTAGTTAGAAGGGTAAAATAGAAATTTTATTAGGGGGAATAGTGAAATGGTGGGGCTGTATATTTGGAGAAAAAACTCCAAATATTCAGCCCAGTTTCCGGTTTTGCAGCCGATCTCCAAAAAATGGAGATCGGTTGGACTTCAACCGGGCTGCATTTTGGAGAAATGCAACCTGGTTGGAGCTGCTCTAAACATTTAAACGTTATTACCCATCTCTTCAATTCCCAATATTAACCTTTCACCCACATCCATTTTCACCCACCTTCTCACACCTTCCATTAAAACTTCAGCTCTAATTAATTCACCCTAAATTCGACCACATATTTTTTCTCTTTCTTCATTTCCCAAAAAAGCCTCTTTGTGTTCGTCTCCTAGAGAAATCGTGCTCCGCCTCTTCGTCTCCGTCGAGCACAGAATTTATGCTTCTCCTTGAGAACCCAATCGTCTTCAGTTTTGATTGTGATCAGAATTCGTGCTCCGCCTGGAAATTTCAAAAGTAAACCCCTCGAGCTTCTTACCCTGAAACCCTAAATCAATGGTCGCTGCTCTTTCCTCTTCATTTCTCGCCTATCCAACATCCACAAAAATTTCTAGAACCCTGCTCTCTCAGTTCTACAGCCCCCTCCCTCTCCCCTCCTCCGTGCCTCTCTCTTCGTCGCAGTCGATTTCTAGGTATAATTTTTGTCTGCGATTTGTTCACTGAAATAAGGTCATTTTTGTGTGTGTGATGAATTCTTATGATTTACTTGAGTTTTAGGAAAATATATAAGGTTAGGGCTGCGAGCTTGAAGGAGAATGATGAGGAGGTGATAGCTGAGGATTCTTTTCGAGCGAGGACTCCTCTTGATAATGAGAGGAAAGAGATGGACGCTGAGCAATCGGAGCCGGTGGCGGTGGAGAGATGGGTTATTAATTTTGAGCAGTCTGTTAATGTTTTTCTCATTGTAAGTTCAATTTTTATTTCTTTTTCCTGTTTTTTTTTTGTCGTGGATGGTGGTTTCGATCTATCGCTGATGATAACGTGATATGTTATACTAATGTAAGACAATTAGATGGAGTCTACGGAATTCTTCTCCTTGACAACGAAGATTCCAACCCCTCGAGATGTGAATGAGCTCTCTTGTGGGTCTCAACTATTATTTTTATTTTCGGGCGGCTTGCTTGAGGGGTTCTAATTTTGTCGGTAAAAATCCTTTAAAAAAATCATATTTTGAGGAAATCATTTTTAATTGGATACCTTATATCTAATTTTCAGAAAATTTAGGGGGAAAATGTTAGATGTGTTAAAGTGAAGAAAAACTCATTAAATACCTTGGGCTCTTTTTTAAAAAATTAATTGAACATTTTTTTATCTTTAACAAATCATCATAGGCTATATACGTTTCGCTCATCTGTTAGAACTACAATGAACATTTTTTTATCTTTAACAAATCATCATAGGCTATATACGTTTCGCTCATCTGTTAGAACTACAAGTAGATATAGTAGTTTAATATATTTTGTCTAGAGAGCTTTATTTTTTTTCCTTTACTTTTTTAGCTATGTAATAATAAATGTAATTGACTCAATTGTTATACACTAAATATCCTGAAATTTGAAAATTCATATAAGGTAGTAAACTTTTACTAATTAGAAATTAGTATATATCTTGCAATATCTTATTTTATGTAAGCAAATATGTGCACAAATGTCAATTGGAATTACTATGCGGAAAGTACTAATTTCATGATACGTATAAAATCGATAATGCAATTGCTAAAGGAAAATTTTATGCTTATAGGCTACAAGTCATATGATAACTTATAAAATGATATTTAGCCAAGATGCATTTGCATCTATTAGCTTAATTATTCTATTGATAGACTATATAGCATATGAGACATTATAGATGTTAATGTAAGAAGGTGATCTGCTCTAATTCCCTATGCATTCATGTTTCATGTTCATTTACTTTATGTTCAGAAGGTTATATGTCTTGGTATGTCCTATCTTATTGCTTTTGTCTTTCCTATGACCATAAAACCCCGGTGAAACAGTAAGAGACATGGCGAGCTGCTGGAGATCAACAACTTGATGCTATTTAGTTGAGGTCAGATCTTTGGTGAATGGAATGGTTTTTTGAGCTCTATATTTTGTTGCTAAATGTTGTTATTTTTGCCTTTTTTGGGTGTGATTATGTTAGGAGTTGTTTTGATAGGTCTTTGATGTATACAGCTAGGGAGTTTTATGTTTCTTTGGTGTGATGTAATGAGATATATTGTTCAATTTATTCTTTGGTTGGGGATGTTGGTGATTTCATGTAAGTAGATTGTAATCACCCATTTATTTCAAGAATGTATTGCTCGGCTGGGGTATTCTTTGAAGACCCCATCCTTTCTCTTAAGAAAACGTGGTGAAAGCTATTCGTACATGTGAAGAGCTTGACTTCATAATGATTAATTGATGCTAGACAATTTTCTATGCTGATTTTAAGGTCGTCCCTACTTGATCTGTATTTTCTTGAATACATTTTGTGCTTGCTGAACCAATTTTATTGTATTATATCTTGAATAGTGGTCATGTTATTTTGATATAGCACACAAAAGATATAATGTTCAATCAAAGTATCTCATTCATTCAATGGTGTAATTTTTTTGTGAGACCTTCAAGTAGTGTGATTGGATTAAGAGCTGCATTTGGAGAAATAATCTTTTAATAATCCATATGATTCTTAGTTCTTATATCCAAATGTCTAAAATATTTCAATTCCTTTGGGTAATTTTTGGCAAATATTTATTTTATGAAACCTTATAAGTTGCTTCATATTTATTTTTACTTATTTTATTTTTTTTATTGATGTTTTCTTTTTCTTGAAAGGGAGCCTGAATTTGGTTTTTTCTTTTTGTTGAAAGCTATGATCAATTATGATTTTATTTCATTTGAAAGGGAGCCTGAATTTGGTTTTTTCTTTTTGTTGAAAGCTATGATCAATTATGATTTTATTTCATTTTTATGGTACATAATTTTTTTTAAATGAGAGACTTGCTTATTCTTAAAAAAATTAAGCCTAATAATTAACAAATCAGTGTATGTAAGCATATAATTTCCTAGATGTATTTACTTATTTTAGTAGTTTTGAAGTTCTCACTTTTGTGATTTAGGTAAGCATATAATTTCCTAGATGTATTTACTTATTTTAGTAGTTTTGAAGTTCTCACTTTTGTGATTTAGATTTTCTTGGACATTTGAATTTTAGGTTATTTATTTTAGTAGTTTTGAAGTTCTCACTTTTGTGATTTAGATTTTCTTGGACATTTGAATTTTAGGTTATTTTTCCAAAAAAAACCTTTGGTCCAGTAATGTTTTTTTATCAATTTATGGATTTTATTATTTAGGCTTTTCTTATTTTTGGTCACATAATTCAAAATTAAATTGTCAATGCGCATAGGAAACTTTAGAATTAATGACCTATTACACAAAACACAATTAAAGTAATTAGATTTTGTCCATCTTTTTCTACCGCAACAGATTAACATAATCCAAAAAATGTACGAATTCCTTAAATGTGGACATTAAGCTTTTCTAATTATATTTATCAATAAATTTTTTGCTTATCTATTGACAAGTTTAAATATGTTGATAGGAAAAAAAGTGTAGTTACATTTGATGTGAAATTCTACCTTACCCTGAGTGTGAGGTTCTTTGCTACACTATTTGTATCCTAATTTCATAATACTTGTAGT